TAACCATTAGGCCAGGTAAAATTAATTTTTTATAATTGTTAAATTGTAGTATTAACTCATTTTATTTTTTTCCTAATTTGCTAAAAAATTGGGGCGTACACGTATACGTACGGCACACGCAAAACAAAATGAAGTGGGGTTCTGATATCAATAAAATTTGTATGCATGACTTCTCACCGGCCTTTCCCTAAAGACCCTTACAAATCCCTTTTTATAATTGTTAAAAAATTGGATTGTTCTTGAGACTTGTAAGTATTAACAAAACATAACCGAGGCCTGAACAGGTTTGACTTTGCCTACAATGTACACATTTTTTTGCATGTCTATTTTTTATACTTAGTTTTAAGAAAATCTTTAAAAACTTACTCATGTTAATGGTATCCAATATGAATAGATTTTATTTTTTTCTACATATTCTTTTAAATATTTTAAAAAATAAAAAACGAAATTTTAACAATGCTTAAATTATTAGATATTTATAACATTGTTAATTAACAAATTATCAAGTACACGTATTATCACCATTTTTTTTGTACGGCAACACACACGCAAAACAAAATGAAGTGGGGTTCTGAAAGACAAAAGCCAATTTTCATGCATGACTTCTTATGTTCCCTAAAGACCCTATAATTTAACTAGGGTGAATCAAATCCCTCTGTTTTCTGTAAAATATAATAGATTCCCACCTTCCTCAAAAATTGGATTGTTCTTGAGACTTGACATGTTCGTAATAAAATAGGTCATATTTACAAAATCTATAACATATTCTAATAAAATATCCTACCAAAATAACCGAGGCCTGAACAGGTTTGATATTTAACATTTTCTTAAACATTCTCCAAACCCTGCCTACAATGTTTTATTTTTTTTTCAAATCAAAATGCACATACAGGATGTGAATTAAACTCTGTGGTAAACTTGAGGGCCTGGTAAACTTTGCTATGTCTATTTTTTATACTTAACCTGCCTTTTAAGAAAATCATGTATAAAGGAACTTTTTCATGAATGGCAGTAATGGTTTTACATATACCATGTGTTTAAGCTATTATTTTTTGATATCTGCCTTCTCTATACTGACAAATAATCTTTTCCTTCTTTCCACATATTTAAACTGGAAACCACTTATTGCCGATTTTTCTACATTCTTCACATGGCTCTTTTGCCATAAATAGCGACACGCGACTTTTTCATACAGATGGCGAGCATGGCTGCTTCTTGGTTCTTCAAGAGCTAAATTGTTACTGCCAACCTTCAAAAAGCTGACTGAAAATGCTGTTGCACTCTGTTACACCCAAAAATCAAAATAAAAAACGCCGTAGCGGGACATTTTGAAATCCGGGCGGGTTAATGATGCTTTTTTAATGTGAAGATTAATTTTATCTGGCCTTATATACATTTTAAAAAATTTTTCTTTTTGCCCCAAGAGGGTGCAGGCCCTTAATTGGTCAGTAAACGAATTGCTGTTTTGGGAATTGAATATAAAATTCTGCATAAGTTGACATGAATGAAATTCCATGTTTTCATTAATTTCAAAAACATTGTAATGTATATTGAAAATCATTTTTAAAAGTACATGGTACTTTTACAAGTAAACCCCCCTCTCTAACAGTTTATGAATAAGTTGTTCTCAGTTTAATTGATGAAATATGAATATGATTGACTTGAAACTTGACATGGTTGACATAGGCTAAATGTTCAATTGTGTCACAGAAGTTATCACCATTTTTTTTGTACATTCTTCAACCATTTAAATACAACAACACACATGCTAAAATGACAAATAAAATAAACGTTATCTACACATATAATAAATTCTGACACACAAGGTAATTTACCCAAATGTCACATTTTTACATCTGAAAGACAAAAGCCATTATTTTCATGTTTACTTATTATTTTTTTAGGTTATAATTTTTAAACTAGGGTGATATGAGAGGAAAAAAATGCATGTTTTCCATTGTTATTCATTTCAAAACATAAATTACATAGACAGGGTTTCAATGAAATATACTTCAAAAGAACTTGTTAAATTTTAGGAAGAGTTTGATTCTATTTAGATGTAATGCGATTTGATGTAATGTTGTAATTTGTTAGGAAAATTTTTCAAGTTTTTATGAATTAGTGCTAATCAATGATGTGATATTTTAATATAAATTTTACTTATTTACAGGGGATTTATCAGTTTTATGTTCACAAACTAATAAAATTTCTTACTTGGCAAGTAGAAGTAGTGTGGTCATTGTTATTGCCTTTCAGTGAGCCGACTGCTTATTTTAGTATGTATTAATGCAGTGTTGTTATAAATTTTCTCCGACCATAATCAGAAAAGGTGCTCATAGATACACATGTTGAGGTCTTCCCTTTCTCGGTATTCTTCTCAAGAAGAGGGCCTGTAAACTCTGTGGCTTTGTTATATAATAATGAAGAAACAATGGCAATCTTTGATGTGTATAATCATGTATAAAGGAAAGGAGGGCTAATTTTTCTATTTCAGGACAATCCTTTTACCATAGGAATTATCTAAATATTATGTTGATTGAAGGGAGACCCCACAGACAATGCCCATAATAACAACGTCTACAGACTGTACCATGGAGTCAAATTTGCTGTAAGTACATGTATTACATTTGATATTGCATGCTTTACATGATAATAAATTTTTGGAAAAGGCATTGGATATCAAAGACTGTTCTCATCTAAATTAAACTTGAGGCACTAGATTTAATATAAACATCTATTAGCTGAAAATGACGTGATCAGATAGTTGTACAAGGTCCAGTGATTGTGTTTGGATTAGGAAATAAGCCAATTTTAACCCAGCCATATGTAGACAAAAGATTAGAAGAGCTGGGAGCGAGGAGGATCTATGACTTAGGACTAGGGGAGATGATGATGCCAAGTAACAAGAAATATCAGTCCTGTAACCTTCATTTCTCCTAAGCTGACTGGGCCCAGTAAGCTTCAGGCTCTGTTACAGTGCCCATTTGTCTAAATTTTTAGTAAGGCAATAACTAGACTTCAAAAATAATTGTCACTGATGTTTGAAATTTATATGATGCAGGTTGTGATGCATTTTTAATTGCTGAACAGGGTTCTTAGTTATTTATGAGTGTTGTACTTCTGTATATAATTTACCGACAATTGTACAATGCAGAGTAATATTCATGCTTTTTTAATGTGAAGGACCCTATGAATATTTATTGCTGCCATGCTTTTGCTTTCAGATTGAAAGATTTCATAACCTGATAAAAACATTTTTCACTGTGTAACACTTCGGTGTTGAGAATCAATAAAAGAGGGTTCTGTCATTAACATCTGTTGATTAGTATGAGGACTTTTCAATAACCTCACAGATTGTACATATAATTGACATGTTTTGCACTAAGATCTTTATGGAGTCATTGATTTTGCTAGAAGACATAACATGTAGTTCTGATTAATCATATGATAGTATGGCAAAGCCTTATTTTATGAGCACTGTTTACATTTGTATGTAATATTTTATAATGTTTCAGTGCAGTATAGGGCACTGTCCATGATGATCTATTGAGCAGTTACCAGGGAGAAATTGCCAGATAGGATCATTGATGAAAATTAACTATTGAAGTACAGTATAATTTATTACAAGTAATTTAATTATCTACCATATTACTTATCAAGTCTTTTTATATGTACTTGTAGCATGTTTAAGGAATAAAATAACAAATAATTTCATCAACAAAATGAAATCTTCTGTAAGCATATAATAATTCTGACTCATGGAATCAAATGTTTCCTTATCAAATTCACATTTTTATGATCAAGTCTTTTTAATATGTTTTACTGTGTTTTTCCATGTTTATTCAATGATTTTTTTTTAATAATCTAAATAAATCTACTAGTCATAACCTATAACTGATATGAGAGTCTGAAATATTTTTGATAATGTTTCCTGTATTTTATTTCAAACAGTAGTACATTAAATTTAACTAAGACTCTTCAATTGAAATATAGGCAGGAGACCATGTGGCGGTGTATTCAATGAACTTGTTAAATTTTTAAATGTAAGAAAATGTTTTATAACCTAAACTTAAAATATGAGAGTTGAAGATAGTTGTATTTTTTCATGCAGCTGTAATTCATAGTGGATACCACCTCAGGCATATTACAGTAAATTTAATCATTTGCCTGAACATTATGGAACCAGCTTTGATGTGGTAGCCTTCTGTAATTTTATCATGTTATGTGTTAAAGAGCTTTTTTTTTCATTGCATTTACTTTGACTGCAAATATTTATTCAGATTTTTTGAGAATAAATGTTTTTGTCTTCTCTTTTGTATCAACAATTTCATGAAATTCAGCAGACATATTTTTAGCTCACCTGAGCTGAAAGCTCAAGTGAGCTTTTCTGATCACATTTTGTCCGGATCCGTCTGTCTGTCTGTCTGTAAATGTTTCACATTTTCGATTCTTATCAATGAACCGTTAAGCCAATTTCAACCAAACTTGCCACAAAGTATCATTGTGAAGGGGATTCAAGTTTGTTCAAATAAACGCCTTCATTCAAGGGGAGATTTAAATTCATGAAAATTTGGTGGCATATTTTAAAAATCTTCTTCTCAAGAACCACTGTGCCAGGAAAAACGAAACTTATGGGGAAACATCCTCAGGTCTGTATAATTCAAATTCTCAAAAAGAGGCAAAAATGGACGGTAAGAAGTTATGAATAGCAGGAAATTCTTTAAAAATCTGTTTCTCTTAGAATGACAAAGCCATAAACATCCTTTTGTATGGACAATCTTTGTAGTCTACCAGAGATCATGATTCCCGGACCTGAGAAATGGCCGACCAAAGTTTTACATACAAATATATTGGAAAATTCTTTAAAAATCAATCTTAGAATGACAGCCTAACCAGAAATATGAGAATTCTCAGGTAGCTATATTTTGTATGGCTACCTATGGGGGTTGGGGAGACCCCACATAGACAATGCCCAGGAATTCTACAAATCTGGCTTCAGAATGGGGAAGCCATCATCGCTGAAGCATGCTGCTCAGGTAGTGTAGATTCAAGTTTGTTTTGGAATTTGCTGTAAGTACATGTATTACATAGAAATATATAGTTCAAAAATCTTCTACTCAATGACTTCTAATATTAATTTTTGGAAAAGGCAGGTAGGATATCAATTTCTTCAAATCATGACCCCCAAGAGAAATTAAACTTGAGGCACTAAGTTTTACATATATATAGGAAAATTCTTTAAAAATTAGCTCAAGAATGACAAAGCCATAATCAGATAGTTGTATGGAAGCATGCTCAACTAGTGTAGAAAATTTATAAATAGTGGTGACCCGGGGGGTAGGGCGGGACCAAAATGGCCGACCAAAGTTTTTAAAGATATATATAGGAAAATTCTTGTAAAAATCATTTTCTAAAAAATAGCAAATCCATGATTGCTGGGAGCGGATTTAAACTTTACAATAAAAAGCCATTTTCTACGTTTTCCTACCCTTAGTGCTCAGGTGAGGGATGTGGCCCATGGGCCTCTTGTTTAGCTCACCTGAGCCGAAGGCTCAAGTGAGCTTTTCTGATCAAATTTTGTCCGGCGTCCGTCTGTCTGTCTGTCTGTCCGTCTGTCAGTCTGTCCGTCTGTCTGTCTGTAAACTTTTCATATTTTCGACTTCTTCTCAAGAACCGCTGGGCCAATTTCAACCAAACTTGCCACAAAGTATCCTTCAGAAGGAGATTCAAGTTTGTTCAAATGAAGGGCCATGCCCTATATGATGAGATAATTGGGAATAAATGAAAATTTGGTGGTATATTTTAAAAATCTTCTTCTCAAGAACCACTGTGCCAGGAAAGATGAAACTTATGGAGAAACATCCTCAGGTAGTGTAGATTCAAGTTTATTCAAATCATGACCCCCAATTGTACGGGGCCAAAATGGCCGAGTAAAGTTTTACATAGAAATATATAGGAAAATTCTTTAAAAATTTCTTCTCAAGAATGACAAAGCCATAATTGATCATATTTATATGGAAGCATGCTCAGGTAGTGTTGATTCAAATTTGTTCAAATCATGACCCCCCAGGGGTAGGGCGGGGCCAAAATGGCCGACCAAAGTTTTTAAAGATATATATAGGAAAATTCTTTAAAAATCATTTTCTAAAAAATAGCAAATCCATGATTGGTCATGGGAGACTTTTGGATTTAAACTTTACAATTAAAAGCCATTTTCTACTTTTTCCTACCCTTAGTGCTCAGGTGAGCGAAGTGGCCCATGGGCCTCGTGTTTAGCTCACCTGAGCTGAAAGCTCAAGTGATCTTTTATGATCACATTTTGTCCGGCGTCCGTCTGTCTGTCTGTCTGTAAACTTTTCATATTTTCGACTTCTTCTCAAGAACCGCTGCAATTAAACTTGCCACAAAGCATCCTTGGGTGAAGGGGATTCAAGTTTGTTCAAATGAAGGGCCATGCCATCATTCAAGGGGAGATAATTGGGAATAAATGAAAATTTGGTGGTATATTTTAAAAATCTTCTTCTCAAGAACCACTGTGCCAGGAAAGATGAAACTTATGGAGAAACATCCTCAGGTAGTGTAGATTCAAGTTTATTCAAATCATGACCCCCGGGGGTAGGGCGGGGCCAAAATGGCCGACCAAAGTTTTACATAGAAATATATAGGAAAATTCTTTAAAAATCTTCTTCTCAAGAATGACAAAGCCATAATTGATCATATTTATATGGAAGCATGCTCAGGTAGTGTTGATTCAAATTTGTTCAAATCATGACCCCCCAGGGGTAGGTCGGGGCCAAAATGGCCGACCAAAGTTTTTAAAGATATATATAGGAAAATTCTTTAAAAATCATTTTCTAAAAAATAGCAAATCCATGATTGGTCATGGGACTACTTTTGGATTTAAACTTTACAATTAAAAGCCATTTTCTACTTTTTCCAACCCTTAGTGCTCAGGTGAGCGAAGTGGCCCATGGGCCTCTTGTTTAGCTCACCTGAGCTGAAAGCTCAAGTGAGCTTTTCTGATCACATTTTGTCCGGCGTCCGTCTGTCTGTCTAGCTGTCTGTCTGTCCGTCTGTCTGTCTGTCTGTCTGTAAACTTTTCATATTTTTCGACTTCTTCTCAAGAACCGCTGGGCCAATTTCAACCAAACTTGCCACAAAGTATCCTTGGGAGAAGGAGATTCAAGTTTGTTCAAATGAAGGGCCATGCCCTCATTCAAGGGGAGATAATTGGGAATAAATGAAAATTTGGTGGTATATTTTAAAAATCTTCTTCTCAAGAACCACCGTGCCAGGAAAGATGAAACTTATGGAGAAACATCCTCAGGTAGTGTAGATTCAAGTTTGTTCAAATCATGACCCCCGGGGGTAGGGCGGGGCCAAAATGGCCGACCAAAGTTTTACATAGAAATATATAGGAAAATTCTTTAAAAATCTTCTTCTCAAGAATGACAAAGCCATAATTGATCATATTTATATGGAAGCATGCTCAGGTAGTATATATTCAAATTTTTTCAAATCATGACCCCCCGGGGGTAGGGCAGGGCCAAAATGGCTGACCAAAGTTTTACATAGAAATATATAGGAAAATTCTTTAAAAATCTTCTTCTCAAGAATGACAAAGCCATAATTCATCATATTTATATGGAAGCATGCTCAGGTAGTGTAGATTTAAATTTGTTTAAATCATGACCCCTGGGGGTAGGGCGGGGCCACAATGGCCGACCAAAGTTTTACATAGAAATATATAGGAAAATTCTTTAAAAATCTTCTTCTCAAGAATGACAAAGCCATAATTCATCATATTTATATGGAAGCATGCTCAGGTAGTGTAGATTCAAGTTTGTTCAAATCATGACCCCTGGGGGTAGGGCAGGGCCAAAATGGCCGACCAAAGTTTTACATAGAAATATATAGGAAAATTCTTTAAAAATCTTCTTCTCAAGAATGACAAAGCCATAATTCATCATATTTATATGGAAGCATGATCAGGTAGTGTAGATTCAAGTTTGTTCAAATCATGACCACCGGGGGTAGGGCGGGGCTAAACTTTTGGATTTAAACTTTTCAATCGTAAACCAATTTCTACTTTTTCATAGCCACAATGCTCGGGTGAGCGATATGGCCCATGAGCCTGTTGTCTTCAGGGGATAAATTTGTTCTCTCATGTTTCTAGTAAGAGTAAATCATACCTGCGTTTTTAGAGGAAAATGAATTTGTTCACAAGTTAATTGATATTTTGTTCATTCTGTGCCATTTCTTGCCTCAAAAGAGTTATATGAGTAAACACATGCTGAATTGTAAGCTTACAGGACCATTTTCTTTTCAAGTACCAGTACTACAACAAAGAACATGAAATATGCAATCAATTATAACAAATTACATGTATAGAATTTGAATGTAATTTATAACCCTAGTGTATTAGACCACAATTCATAACTCTGTTATATTTGACTTACTTTTATTACCTATAAATAATATTATTACAGAGGAGGCCAGTAAGAAATACCCCTTCCCGTGCCCCACCACCTACCGCACTGCTCTCTCCCACTACCTCGATATCACAGGGACACCAAGGACACACATTCTACGGGAACTGGCAGAATACGCACAGGACCAGAAAGATAAAGATTTCCTGTTAAAACTGACATCTTCTACACCAGAGGGCAAGGTACACACTCAGAAGTTAAAATTATATTGTGCTTACTTTAGTATGCACTTAAGGCAAAATACATATCAAATTTAAGGCAAACATATATTCTTTTTGATGTAAGTGAATTTTTGAGCTATACTGCATGGACAGTAAGAGTATAGTGAGAGGTTTATGCATTTGTTTGAATTTGACCCGAGACCTCTGGCATGCCAATCAAGCTAAAGGCTGAACACATTAGCACAAGCTAGCGGTAGTAGGAAGCTATGAAAGAGATATCCTCCTCTCTTATAGAGAGATCTAAAGAAGTGCTCTACCTTGGGTAGTGTGTAATGGATGGCCTCCTACTACCTTGGGCTTGCTCTGAAATGGAATAATTAATCTTAGGATACATTATAAATGATTGAGAAATTTTGATCATGATTTATGGTATCTTTTGTTATTACAGACATTGTACAGTGATTGGGTGGTTAAGGACAGGAGAAACATCACAGCTATACTAGAGGACCTACCTTCTGTCAAACCTCCTATCGACCATCTCTGTGAACTGTTACCTAGGTTACAGGCTAGATACTATTCCATTTCTTCATCTCCTAAGGTTTGTATGGACAACTAAATTTCTGATCTTTAATGTTACAGATGCTCCAAAATTACTTTTCATTCATTATTTTTCATGAAAAATTAAATTTTTGTTAATTACACCATACACCAATTAATATAGTGTGTGGCATTTAATAAACAAATATTAATTGAGGTCTAAGTTCCTTTCAGTATTTTTATCCTTTATTTGATTATAAATTTCATCACTACAGGTCAATTCTACTAGTATACATATAACAGCGGTTGTAGTCAAATATAAAACCAAGACAACTAGGACGATGAAAGGAGTTGCTACCAACTGGCTGACCCTAAAGAGACCGACCAATGGCATTAAACCTACTGTTCCCATCTACGTCAGGAAATCTCAGTTCCGTCTTCCTTTCAAGGCCAACACACCAGTCATAATGATCGGACCCGGCACAGGGTTAGCTCCCTTTAGAGGATTTATTCAAGAAAGGAATTTCCTAAGGAAAGAGGGTAAATATGAATTACTGCATTCAGTTACTGTAGACGTACTTTTTTCCACTGGGTCATAATTCCGCGGAATCTCAATTTCTGTTTAATCTGCGGGTAGAAAATTACGCGGATTTCTTAGACTGTCACTATATGCCTTACATTTATATTAAGTACGTTTGGACAAATTTCCGCAGAAAATTTGTGACCGCGTACATTGCGTAAATTAATACCACGCGGAAAAAAGTACTTTTACAGTATTTTCATGTACCAATACATTACTTTAGATTATGCCTTATCATTAAGAGTATTTTTAGGTCACCTGAGTAAACTCAGGTGACCTATTGCTATCACTTTTCGTCCGTCGTCGTTCGTCGTGCGTTAACATTTGAACATTTTCAGCTTCTTCTCTGAAACCACTGAATCAATTTCAACCAAATTTGGCATATAGCATCTATGGGTAAAGGGGAACAAAAATTGTGAATTTCATGGTCCCTGCCCCCCTGGGGCCTGGGGGGTGGGGCAAAAACCACTAAAATTAGTGCAATCTTTAAAAATCTTCTTCTTTACTCCTGGACATCAAGCAGTCAAACTGTTTGCATGATTGTAATCAGCATTGAGTCCTCTACCAAAATTGTGAAATTCATGGCCCCGGGGTCATGGTTTCTAGTGCTAGGGCGGGGCCAAATAAGTATATAGTGAAAATGCATTATTTCTTTGAAAATCTTCTTCTCTGCTCCTGGGTATTAAATAAACCTACTAAGTACATAGTTATGATGAGCAAGAGTGCCTCTACCAAAATTGTGAATTTTATGGCCCCAGGGTCAGGGGTTCTGGTGTAAGGGTGGGGCTCTATAGATTATATAGTGAAAATGCATTATTTCTTTGAAAATCTTCTTCTCTGCTCCTGGATATTAAATAAACTAACTAAATGCATAGTTATGATGAGCAAGAGTACCTCTACCAAAATTGTGAATTTCATGGCCCCAGGGTCAGGGATTCTGGTGTAGGGGTGGGGCTCTATAGATTATATAGTGAAAATTCATGAATTCTTTAAAAATCTTCTTCTCTGCTCCTGGATATTAAATAAAATAACTAAGTGCATAGTTATGATGAGCAAGAGTGCCTCTACCAAAATTGTGAATTTTATGGCCCCGGGGTCAGGGGTTCTGGTGTAAGGGGGAGGGGGGGGGGGCTCTATAGATTATATAGTGAAAATTCATGAATTCTTTGAAAATCTTCTTCTCTGCTCCTGGATATTAAATAACTAACTAAATGCAAAGTTATGATGAGCAAGAGTACCTCTACCAAAATTGTGAATTTCATGGCCCCAGGGTCAGGGGTTCTGGTGTAGGGGGGGTCTATAGATAATATAGTGAAATTACATGAATTCTTTGAAAATCTTCTTCTCTGCTCCTGGGTATTAAATAAACTAACTAAGTGCATAGTTATGATGAGCAAGAGTGCCTCTACCAAAATTATGAATTTCATGGCCCCAGGGTCAGGGGTCTGGTGTAAGGGGGGGGGAAGGCTCTATAGATTATATAGTGAAAATTCATGAATTCTTTGAAAATCTTCTTCTCTGCTCCTGGATATTAAATAACTAACTAAATGCATAGTTATGATGAGCAAGAGTACCTCTACCAAAATTGTGAATTTTATGGCCCCAGGGTCAGGGGTTCTGGTGTAGGGGGGGGGGGGGCTATATAGATTATATAGTGAAATTACATGAATTCTTTGAAAATCTTCTTCTCTGCTCCTAGGAATGAAATAAACTAATTACATAGTTATGATGAGCAAGATTACCTCTTCCAAAATTGTGAATTTTATGGCCCTAGGGTCAGGGGTTCTAGTGATAGGGCGGGGCTCTATTGATTTTGTAGTGAAAATACATTGAATCTTTGAAAGTTTTCTTCTCTGCTCCTTGGTATTAAGCAGATGAACTACCTATATAGTTGTGATGAGCAAGGGTACTAATCTTCCAGAATTGTGAATTTCAAGGCCCCAGGGTCAGGGGTACCATAAAGGGGGGGGGGGCTGTACTTATAAACTGAAACTGGATGAATTGTTCGAAATATGCTCCTTGGTATTAATCAAATATTTTTGAAAAGCAAGGGTGCAATGTGTGGATCTAGGCCTAAGGGTCAGGGGTTCATGTGTGATTGGGGCATTACTGATCATGCTGAATATTACTTGATTTCTTGAAATGCATTTTTTGTTCCCCTACCCTGCCTATGGGTATTAAGTAAACAAACTAAGCAACTGCTAAGTGTATTGTTATGATGATCAATGGGGCCTCTTTCAAAATTGTGAATGCCATAGCATCTGGATTAAAACATGAATCAATTTCAATCACTGGAAAGTTGTTGCATAATGCTCAGGTGACCTATAAGGCCCATGGGCCTCTTGTTCTATGAAAAGTCTATTGCTAATTTTATTACACAGTAATATCTTTTTAAGGGTTTTAGGTACATGTACATTTAATCTCAAATATATCTAAAATTGTTAAACAAAAATTGAAACTAATTTAAAAAAAAAAGCTCTTGAATCCTACACAAGTAGCTATGAAGTGAAACATTATACTCCCTTTTAAAAAAATAAACTGTTGTACTGACTTTCAAGAAATTCTAGATTACTACTTGCAAAAGGCATGTTTGAACAAGTTTTGTGAGGATAGATGTATATTGTTGCAGGTAAGCCTGTGGGAGACACTGTGTTGTACTTTGGTTGTCGTCGTAAGACGGAGGATTATTTATACGAGGAGGAACTGGAGGAATACACTAAGGACGGCACCCTGACTAAGGTCCACCTGGCCTTCTCCCGCGATGGACCGGACAAGGTGTACGTACAACATCTCCTCAGGCAGAACATGGAGGAAACCTGGAAGATGTTAGAGAAGGGAGGGCATATATATGTGTGTGGGTAAGCAGCATTTGATTTACATGAATTGCTTTAAAATCTTTAGATTCATGTCATTTACTAATCAAATATTAAAGTTATTATTATTAAGTGGTTCATTTGATTGGAATTGCTAAGCAAGATACAGATAAAAATTGAAAATTTTTGTTCCTAATTTTTTCATTATTCATAAATTTATTAATGTTTGTAGAGAGTAATTTCCAAGTTAGGAATAAAATTGCATGCATGTAATTTGAAAGTTTCTTAATTTTTGAAGTGCATGTGAATTTAGAAATAAAGAATTCAAATAATTTTTCATTAATGTTCTTTGCTACAAATGTCAGATGAATTATTGTGCTTTTTAATTTTAGTGATGCTCGTAACATGGCAAGAGATGTACATGAAACATTAGAGAAAATTATCATGGAATGTGGCAATATGGATAAAGAAAAGGCAACCAATTATGTGAAACAGATGCAGAACAAGGGACGCTACTCTTGTGATGTATGGAGCTGAAGATGGCCATTCATTATTCAACAGATCTGTTCAGAGTGGCTGACCAAAGTGATAAAGGGAAAAAATATTGTACCAGAGATTGATTGTGTTTTAAAAGAGGAAAGTTTTAATTTCAAATCTTTAGTATGAATTAGCTGACATAGTGTGTATATTTTTAAGTATTTGATAGAATATATTTTACACTTTTTCATATATGAAAAGCAATTTTGTAAAGCATTGTTTAAATTCTTTAGTCATAAGTATTTATGTTTACTTCAATAATCAGTTTCTTTTATAAATGTTTTTTTTTGCTGAATTGCTGAATACCTATTGATCTGACATATTGTCAGGTTATTGTTGGGTTTTCCATGCACAAAAGGGCTTTCATCATAAGTGAATGATTACAGTCATAATAATGAATTATTTCCTCTGTTATGAAGTGTATATGATGTTTTGGCCTTACTTAATCTCTGATTAGTAAAAAGTCAAAAGTAAAAAGTTAGTCATTTTTAAAATTTAATTTTAATTTCCATTTGGTACTGAGACTGCCTTTAGAGATTTCTCCAAATTGTTCTTTTGTACTAGGAAGCTTCGAAAAAGGCTTGATCCCTTTTATGACGAGATTTCTCCATGTGTATGTTTGTATAAAAATGATTCCAAATATTGTTTTTAAAAACATGGCATTATGACCCAATTGTTAAAAACATCATGTTACCCCATAATGTTTGTTCACTTCAGATTCATTGTAATCAAGTTTGTTCACTGCTTTGAATCACTTTTACACAGTTTTTATTTGTACAATGTTTGTTTATTATTATTTTTGTGATTGGAAAGAAATAAGAAATTTAAAACATAATTTTCTATCATGGTGCTGAGATATTAATAGATTTATATTGTGAGAACCAAATTGTACTCTTTGCATACTTAATTTTTAATACTATGAATTACCTCATTTGAATATGAAATTAAATGAATGCTGCTATATAATGGCATTTAACAGAATACTTCATTAAGTGATAAAACATGTTTTTGATAATATATTCTTCATATGTGCTGGTAAATACATCAAGAGATTGAAAGTACTATGTCATTGATCAAGAAGCGATTAATTTTACAATTTTTTTTGTAAATATATATATTGTCCTTGTCCGTGTATAGTAGTTGGTAGATCTCCATTTTATGTCCAAGCATTACAATTAATTAATCAAGTAAATGATTTTATTTTGATGTCTGACTTTTTGTGTTTTTTAAATTCAATCCAAAGTTTAGAGGAAATCACAGGTTTTTATTCATATTGAGTTGTAATTGGGAAAAAAATCATCATCTAGATGCATTGTATTAAGGAGGAATGCCACACCAACTTTTTATTTTATACAAAAAAATGTAGATCTCTGAGTCAACCTTTTTAAACAATGGTTTCAGCATTGAAAGGCCGACATTAGCTCTCAATTATTTTATATGATTTTGGCCAATCCTATTCAAAATTAAACCGTTATTGTACAATTGTACTTTTGAACAGAAATTACAATTTTCTCTTGTTCCCTAAATGCCAAATGTACAACTTTGAAAATTGATTCTATCTTATCACCCTTTTGTCAAAGACATCTTTTTAAGGATCATCTAATTAAATTTTTGCCATATGATGCTTTTAAGTAAGCATGTAAATGGATATTGTTCATTACAAATTGATCGAGGAGGAGGGGTCTACTTTTCTTAATTTTCTCCAATGTTTATGTATCGGGGTTATTGTTGAAAAGTTCGTGGACTAGCGCCATCAATCAAAACAATTTAAGGAATACAGCAAAAAAGTTTTTATACTTTGAATTAATTGTCAATGTTTTCGTAAGTAATGGAATGACCCCGTGGCGCAACCACAAAATGCGATGTCATATTCTAACAGAGACAGTGAATTTAACAGAGACAAATGAAAATTTCACATCCAATTTTCACCCATGTGGTTGGACACAATTGACAAATTTACCTTATTTTCTCAATTTTCTGAGATTTTAATCTTAAGAATTTTATTTTAAGTTCTCTTGAGAATGTATAAAATAAGACGCCTGAAAGTACGGAAGCGTAAATGGCTCTACACTTGTTGTGTTATACCTTTTCATATTGTCTTATATTTTATCGACTTATCGGCATATGAAAATTTACTTTCTTATTTATACACATATTTTGAATTGTATCAAGATTTTTTAACATAATTGAAGGGAACCTCTTCTGTTCAATAGAGTTTATTGCTTAAAGTTTAATCGACTGAAATAATACATTGATTTTCAGATATTGATCGAAACAAATTATTCCATGTTTCCCACTGTTGTTGATGCCCTGGCATACTATACTAAGAAGACAGTTATTCCGTAAGTACCTCCTCCTTGGCAGATATAATTTATAAAATGTTTTCTACTCAGTGTAATGACCATGCTTCCTTTAAAAGTGATTTTCTTTGTGAGAAAAAATTATTAGTTCAATAGGGAAATTCATCTGTGTTTAGACTCTCTTTAATAAAATTTTCCACTGTGAAAGAAAAAGATTTAAATTTCTCATCATTTATTATAATATACTGTATATTGCATTACTTATTGAATGACCTTCGTATACCGAAATGTTCAGACTACCTTTTGTAATGGAATACAGTGTGCTACGTGTAGCTACGGTTCTCGTAATAAGTACATCAATAACTATAGTGAAAGGCTGACTTTCTGTTGTTTTCGTCAGATTTCAATCGACGTCACGTCAGAGAATTTCAGTTGGAGAGAGGTACCTCCTTCACAAGACAACAAAAAATGTCATTTGGAATAGCAGATATTTTAAATGGTCCATTTAACATTTTTTGCAGGCGAATTTTTATTTAATATTTCCATTTTTAAAAGCATATTTCCTGTATGGTTGTAGAGTCTGATAAGAACAAAAAAGATGTCGCTATTTTCTGCGTATTGTAATTCTTCCTTCAGGATATCAACTAGATTTTAAAGATGCTGCTCTAATTGCAAATTGCTCAGCCATCACCGCAATAGGAATTGTTAGCTTTCTCATTCCACGAGAGAAGAAATACTCAGTTATATTTCACAATGTATTTAACGTTATTCATATCATTTATCAAACAGTACCGATTTATTTCTAAAACCCACTAAGATTTGGAGACGATATCCGAAATGGCTAACAGGTTTGAAAATACTATTGCTATTCTCAATAGTTTAGTATTACTCAATGTTTGAAATACTTTACAGGTTTCAATTTTTATATATATATATATATATATATATATATATATATATATATATATATATATATATATATATATATATATATATTATATTTATATATATATATATCCTACACTGCTAGGAGACAGATTCCGTAGGTCGAGAGTTCAACCCCGGGCGGGGGCGGAAGTGAGTATCCTCGTAAAAGTGAATTTCTCTGTGCTTTCTATATATATATATATATATATATATATATATATATATATATATATATATATATATATATATATATTTCATTGAAGGCTTATATCATCTGATCTATTTCAAAATAAATAGAGAAATGCCTGGAGTGAAAGAGAAATGAACATGTATGTATAGAAGACACATTCAAGGCACAATTTATTTAAAACGGTATTGAGGGCGGTACCATCTCCCTAATTTGGTTTATTTTAAGTGCGATATGAATATAAGGAAATGTTCTTGTACTTAAATTTAATCGTGATGAATTCTTAAACCACAAATTTTAAAATGTTACCCAAGAGATCACATCGCAAAACAGGCAACCCATTAATCCCCTTCTTACTTGCCTCAGCTTTGGTGGGAATTTTTTTCCCTCCTATTTTTTCTGTGATTGCAAATATAATAGACACATCGACCAAGATCATTGGAATTGTGATTATTCTCTATACAGCATTGTCTATATTTTGCAGAAGAGAGGAATGGATAACACACAACGTCCCCTTGTCCGGAATGACGAAAACCAAGATCGGAGTTCTATGGATTCTTGGGGCATTTAAATGCGTCTTTGGATTTATTCATAGGGAGGTTCACTGGAGATGTGCGATGAATGATGAATACCAAATAGTAAGGGACATCGGGAAATTTGCTTCAGTTCTTTTTACAATCCTACAGTCGTTCATCGTTTTGTATTGCCATAAACATTCCTTTGTAAACAATACAAAAATAAGAGTTGTCATAACTTCGATGGTCTTTACAAATTTGACCGTTTGGCTTACAGGGCTTGTATATTGTGTTACAGAAAAAGCAAGCTCAGATAATTCAACTTTCATTGAAGATATGTATAACTGCACCTATGTTAAAGAAAATAATTTAGAAACATTGGTTCGATATACGGAAATATTCAGAATACCTTTTGTTATGGAATTCAGCGTGCTAGCTACGGTACTCGTTATAAGTATACCAATAACAGGTGAAAGGAGTACTTTGTCCGAGTCATATTCATCAGATTTTTTAAATCGGTACGAAGAACAAGAAAGTATTCCCTTTACAAGGCGACAAAAACTATCCTTATTGACAGCAGTGTGTTTTCTGTGTGGTCCATTTTACATTTTTGGTGGTGTATTTTTGTTTGATAGTTCTACTTTCAAAAGAATATTCCACATATGGCAATGTTTTCTTATGGGAACGAAATCGGTGACATTTTTGATAATTCTCATAATTTTCTATGCGTTGCAAAAGGAAGTTAGTATCATTGTTACCCACTACCATCCTAATTTCAATGATGTTTCTTTGCTTGCAAGCTGTTTTGGTATCACTGCAGCATCAGTTGTGGTTTATTTTACTCTAGAAGAGCACAGTTTATTATCATTATTTCACTGTATATCCAACATTGTCCACATCTTCTATCAAACAATACTGATTTTCTTTCTAAAAGTGGTTTATATATGCAGACGGAATCAAAAATGTCCGAGTCGATTGAAAATGTACCTTGCTATTCTCATCAGTTTCAATATCACTCGATGGTTAGGTGATTTTCTCGTTTTCTTGGCGTTTATAGAAACCGCTACATCAAATCATTTCTATATAAGTCTTTTTAATGTGTTTTATCCTTTCCAACCGTTTTACAGATTCCAATGTGCAATGGAAATGATAAATATTTACTTGAAATTGTGACACGGTTGAGCGAGGTTTATTAACCGATAAATTTTAATAATGAATTTGGAGATAACGAACACTAATTAAGCTCAAAAGTACATCGAAATAATACAAATCGGGAGTAGAACAATTAAACACAGACTTATGAAAACCTCAGAGGTGAGATCAGGAGGATGAGGTGCCATGGAGGAGGAAGCATCTCCTGTCGACCGATCACACTCACCGTGTGCTTCTTCTCATATAAATCAATAGAATGCACCAAAATAATGATAAAAAGATGAGGTGAAACAAAAACTAAGATAAGCCATTTTAAGACTTGCAAATATGTTTTGTAAAAATAATTGCAAACACTTAAGATGCCTCTTTATAAAGTGAATGTGTCTAATTTTGAGTTGATTCTTTTCATCTTTCTTTTTCCTTCTATATATTTTAATTGGTCTACAGTACTTAGAAAATGAATGAATTTTAATTTATTTAGGATTGTTTATTATTATTTTTCTTTTTTGAAAAATACTGTACAGTCGGTGTTTTTTTGGGTAAGAATGACTGAAATAAATACATTTTCTTTGAATTTCCATATGTTTCTATTTTTTGTAACGTAGTGCCTAAGGCTGTGACGTCATAAATGGGTGTGTTTTTGTTTAAAAATCTGCATATGTTGCAGGACGTGAATAACCTAAGAATTCAGGTTGAATGGATCAAAAACATTTAATTTACTTTTGTTTCCCATGAACTTCAAGTTCCATTTTCTCTCATGATCTTGTCAATTTATGGAAGGATGGAGATTGTAAATACTTATAAAATATATAATTCCTTTTACATAGGATACGGTCAAGTACGACAACAAAAATCCTGATCTGTCTTCCAAAGTTTTTCCTCAGTTCCGAATGTCAACTCAGACTAATCATTTTAAAAAAAAGGCGATGTCATTTCATTATCCAAATATCGAGGATTCAGACATCTTTAATAACAATTTAGATAAAATTTTGCAGAAAATATTTTGTTTTTCTTTGCAGGTTTTCAAATAAAAGATACAGGTGTTCTTTATGAGTTATCCCCTTTTTATTGACCACGCAAGTAGTTCCACTCTACATTTAGAAGTAAACTAAAACTATTATGGGAT